TTGAGGATCAAGCAACTAGAGGAATCGTTATTTGAGAGAAATGATGAACTTGACAAAGTGAGGAAACAGTTTCGAGAAGAGAAACAGAAAAACTTGGACATCGAAAAACAATGGCGATCACAGTTAGAAAGCGAACGACAAGACGCTGATATCAAATACGATGGACAGGTTTATATGCTATATTTTATCATCTATTTTTAAACACGTTTTATTATACTTTTCAAAGTAACACGTTTCGATATAAATTGGCAACAAAAGCCTTTCTTACGTGAGCTATCGTCTGCATGGGGCGGTCGCCAATCGCACTACAATTGGAATTTGTGTTTTATGACATAGTACATTTTGTATTAACGAACATTATCTTTTTTTATCGTTGGCACGCCGGGTCAGCTCTTCCCAAAAATCGGCCATCTGATATAAACTTTTTCAATATATTTCGGATGGACATGAAACTTGCTACATCAATATAACTTTCCATTCCGAACAATCGTATGTTTTTTATTTTTGAGATTTAACGGTTTTTGGCGGGAAAATGACGTCACGAAACCTCCAGTTAAAATTTATTTCAATATCTTAATAGTTTTTAAGCAGAATATGGAAGATCATGTCATGAAGAGTTCAAAACTGAAAAGAGATTTTAAATATCTTAATCTAATCACGAGATACAGGGAGTTTAGAATCGAATTTTCCACCATTTTGTTACTATTTTTAGATTTTTCACGGTTTTTATAGTGAAATAACTTTGGATTAGGTTTAGATATTTAAAGTCTGTTTTCAGTTTTGAACTGTTCATGACATGTTCTTCCAAATTCTGCGACAAAACTATTAAGATATTGAAAGTAAATTTTAACTGGAGGTTTCGTGACGTCATTTTCCCGCCAAAAACCGTTAAATCTCAAAAATAAAAAACATACGATTGTTCGGAATGGAAAATTATATTGATGTAGCAAGTTTCATGTCCATCCGAAATATATTGAAAAAGTTTATATCAGATGGCCGATTTTTGGGAAGAGCTGACCCGGCGTGTGGTCGAATTTATATTTGATACAGATTATTCGTCTTAGACGAGGAATGTGTGTATTATTGATCTGGCTAAAGACGAAAATTTTAATACTCGAATGCATGGGGAATATAGAGAATTTATAGAGAATTTACCACTCTTGGATATAAATTCGGTTGTGTTTTAGGAAAGATCTTGGAAGGACCGTGAAGAAAAACTCCTCCAACGACTGAAAGAACTTGAAAATGTAATTAGCTACTGCATTGTGATCTCGGTTTTAAAATAAAAAGTTACGTAGCAAAGTTGAAAGAATGAAAATGGTTAGTTAATTTCGCATTTTAATTCGGTTTTATTTTTGGTAGTTGGTTGAAGAGCGAACGACAGATTTCAGACGATCTGAAGAACGATGCAGATCGCAGACAGAAGAACTGCAAAAAATTATCGAGGTATAATCAATTATTCACCGAAGGTGCAAGGGTAGTTGTAAACAAAATTGTATTTACAAGCTTTTAGTAATTTTATTCGTTAGAAATTGCTTTAAAGAATACCTCTACACACTGTTAAACAAAACTGCGTGGCTTTCTTTGTGTTTGGCGAAACGACAGCTTTGTTTAGTACAAAAATTTGCTCCTCTGTAACCGAAACGCAACGGGAAGCCATTTTGGTTTTGTCCGGAGGTGAATAGTGCAAGGAGCTGAGCAACCAATCAATTTGCGCGAAAAACACCATCCACCTACCGAGTATATGCTAAAAATACTAATGCTCGTCGCGCAAATGGGAACTTTGAAGAATGAAAGTGGCATATATATGTTTGCATAATTTAGAACAAGAATGAAGAAATGAAGATGGTCCGTGGTCTGGTGCGACAGCAAGAAGACGCCACTCGAGTGCTTGGAGAACGACTTCGAAATGAAGCGAGGGAACATGTAAGATCCTGTTGTTATCAATATTTACAGGCTTGAAGCTTTTGCGATGAAGAATCGCGCTTTATTTATACTGGATATAGTTCTTTGTGCTCGAAACTATTTTCCCTAGGGGTTCAGTAATAGTCCTTCTTTATTGGCCAGGTGTTGCCGTAGGACAGTGGCGGCCCCGGCGGGATGTCCTCCCTCCAATCATTTTTGACAGCCTTTCAATGATATCTGAATAACTGTGTAATAATTAAAAGTTGTAACAATATTTTTTCAACATGAAAGAATCGATAGGCATTAAAAGTTGTAACAATATTTTTTCAACATGAAAGAATCGATAGGCTATAAGTCAAGCTATATATTGCATGAAGTTTGATTTATTGATTAACATTTCCAGGGGTGGATCCAGCAAGGTTTTTCTAGGGAGGTGCTGGGTGCTCCGAGCAGTCGAGTGTTTCTTTATAATTCCGTAGGGGGTGGTGGGAAAGGATTCAAATGAATTGGGTTCCTATGCCCCCCGGGAAAGTTTGAAAAATAGGACCCTAGAAATGCCATTTCCTGCGACATGAGCATTGAATTATGAGCTTCAGTTTGACTTCAAAAAGGAAAAACCTTGGAAATTATGCCATATTTCTAAATTTGATTTTTTTTTTGTACCCCTGTTGACCAAGGCCAACAGGGGTGCTAGCCCCTGTGCACCACCCTATAAAATTATAAATCCACCCCTGAACATTTCTATAGTGCAAATTTACCTGTGCATGATATGATCACATGTGCTTTGCATCAAGTATTATGCTTACCTAATTACAATATATACTCAGCCCAGACTATATTATCTTTACCACAATTGTTATATTACTTTTCTTAACTTAACTGGCAGGAAACCGGAGCACCCGGAGAAAATCCACGACTTTCGGCAGAGCGTTGACAGACTCTTTTCACATTAGAGGGCATGTTTCAAACAAGGTGGTTTTATGTTTGGCTACCTAAGTTCTCCCTTCCCCAATATTTCGCTTAGTGCCCACCATTCTGTATTCCACAGTGTCACCCACACCTCTAATTAAAATTGATAAATGGAGATGATTTTCATCAGGTTCGTAACGCCGTGGAGAAGGAACGCCAGTCTCTTCATAAAGAGAAAGAACGCGTCAAGCGAGCTGTAGATGACGAACGAGATAAACACGACAGAATTGTGAAACAGATGGCAGAACAATTGGACATTGAGAAAGAAACACATTCACAGACAAAAGACATTTTGAATAAACTTAAACAGGTTAAGGGGCAATTTTTTTCTTTGTCCTATATTTATGATCAAAAGTATTCCAAATCGAAAACCCTTTTGGCGTACCTCTCAAAATTGTTTTGTTTTAGCTTTATTCTCTAGTTTATACAGTGAGCTATACATTTCTAAATGCATTTGCCGGTTGAGAAACATAAAATAATTATGGTAAAATGTTGGCAATTAAAATACAATTATCAATGGTGCTTTAATAGTGACGGCATATTTATACAGGAATATAAGCAAAACTTACTGAACTTCAGACATCTCTTCATTTTAGCATTATTTTACAGATAAAGCACTAAACATTCTTTTAAAGTTTGTTTGTCGATTGAGAAACGTATCGAAATAGATTCGAAAAATACAAATTTTGAATGAACTGCAAGCGGTATATTATACACATTAGTTTTGAGCGCGTGTTACGTAACATACAAAAAATTATGGAAGTGTTTTATTTAATATTGTAGGAAGGAGATGGTTTAAGAAAGCAAGTTGTTGAAGTTCACGGTGAGAGAATCACGAGTGTGCAGAGAGCGAGGCAAGAAAATGGCGAAGAACTTGAAAAAATCAAAGAGAAACTTCATGAGGTATGTTGGTGGTGATGGTTCTGATAATGGTGGTGGTTTAGATGGTGATGGTGATGAGCATGCAGTGGCGTAGATAGTCATGGCAACTGGTCATGCTATGCTAATAGACCTGCATCTGAATAGGTTAAAAATAGGTACGCTACGCGTACATGAATCTACGAATAGCAATAAATCGTTGCCCCACCCTACCCAGTAGTCAATCGACAAATTTAAAATGTGAATGGCCGCCAAGCACTAGCTAGAATAGAACATAATCAGAAAATAGTATATGCGTGCATAAACAGGTCAATTGATATACCGGTAATTTGCGCTAAAACTGTTATTCCAGATTAGAATATTTACAAATGCACCACATTTGGGCTGAAAGTAGTACAAATTAATACAAAATTTGGGAATTTCGTAGGGCTATATTTTCCTCATTTTACAACATTTCGCAACCAATCTTTGCAATTTTACTAATTTTAACATGCTTTTTCTAGCTGTGGTATTGGATTTTGTTCTTCTTGCCTTAGTCAATAGAGCGTTTGCACTCATTCCCCAGGGACCAACTCAACAAAAGCCATGGCGGCCATGTTGGTGTTTCAAACAAAAGAGTCTAATTAAAATTCTTTTGAATTGGAACACCAACATGGCGGCTGTGACGTCATGTGCAAACGCTCTATAGCTGGAACATTGAGCTATAAATAAACTGGAAGGCTAACTCAGGGGGGGGAATTGAAGCCAGTGCATTTTAGTTTTTCTGAGTTATGAGCAGAAATACTCAACACTGAACGTTGAGCTATATATCAAATTGAAGCTAATGAAAAACGTTATTTGGTGTAGAAATTTCAAGACTTTAGCTAAAAGGGAAATTTTGAAAAATTACAAACATAATTACCGAAAATTTGCCGTTTTGCAGTTGTTTTTGTATTTTTTAAATATTTTTCTTTTCGCTGAAGTCTTGAAATTTCCACACCGAATAGCAATTTTCAATAGCTTCAATTTGATATATAGCTCGACGTTTGGGGTCAAGTATTTCTGCTCATAACTCAGAAAAACTATTTTGGCTTCATCAAATCATAGGCCTTCATCATAGCAGTTAGCCTTCCAGTTTATTTATAGTTCAATGAGCTGGAATCGTCCATTAGCCCATTGTAAAATTTATGCATGATACATAATTCGCTGGCAGAGGTATTCAGTCTCAAAGTGTCCTCTACTCTAGTTCTTTCTGTTGTTGTCGTTGTTATAGTTGTAATTCCACGTCACTGTCTTGAGCTACTTTTTCATATTTGTGCAGACTTGTGGAAAAGCGAATGTACAGAACTAACATAACCAGCACTGCAGCAGATGATATTGAATAGATGAGTAATGTTAGCTGTGTGCCCAAGGTGTGGAAAAGAACTCCCATCAGACTTGATCACTCGGCATCAAATGCTACAGCGTAAACTGTCTCTCGTAGGCCTAAAATATGGAAAATGTTTTAACCAATTATCTCGAACTCATTAATAAGGAATTCATGAGGAAATTAGCTAACATCACTGATCTCAAAATTACATTGTTTGAACAGAAATTTATCAACAGTGGCCTCTCTTCCCCTTAAATTTCCCCCTGAATAACTAATGATGTCACACCAAGATGGCTGCCACAAGTCTCACCATCTATAGCGTTGTTAAGCTTGTTAGAAGAGATGTGGGAAGCAGGGACGTCGCGAAGCCATCAACATTGGGAGGGGGGGTCGTCATGTTTTGACCAACATTTTCTAGGATTTTGACCAAGTCGTAAACATTTTTCCCGAAAATTTTGTCGACGGGGAGTAGGTGAGATCAAAAAAGTTTTCCGGATTAACATGAGCAAATTCCAAATTTTTCGCCCAATATGAGCAAACGTAACAAAAGCTTTAAAATTGTTAAAATTGCGAACCATTTCATAACTTTGGGCAACTTCGACCATCTTTTATCCCAAAGATTTACCAAATTTTTCCCAGTTTTACCTTCAATTTTAAGCAAATATCAGTTCCATTTTGACCAACTTTGGGAAAATATTACTTCCATTTTGACCAACTTTGACCAACGTTTAAATTATTGGGGTGGGGGGAGGGTGTTACACCCCCACACCCCCTATAGCGACGTCCCTGGTGGGAAGATATATTTTTCAAGTTACATGGGGAAGACATTTACAGTCTTGATAATGTAGCTATTTTAAACACGTCGCGATCCGATTTGCAGCAATTTTGACAGACTTTAAAATCTCATCTCAGTATAAATATATATTCTGACTTCTAAATTGGCTGATTGAATACAAAAGGATACTCTATCATGTCCTATAGTTTTCAGATCAGCCAGCGGTTAGTACGAAACTTTGTGTTCAAAATTTACTAAATCGAATACAAAAATTTTACCCGATGAACACCCGCGGGCGAGATTGAACAATATATGTTAAAAAAGTTTGAATGTAAGTATTAGCTTAATGCAGGTAAACGATTTTCTCCAAAATCACAGGGGCCCAATAGATAGTTGTAAAAGACTAAAATTGTTCAAAATCATTATAAAATCATTAATAATTTATGAAGAAAATTCAAAAGAAATGAATATTTAATCAATGTTTGTAAATCGTATAAAGATTTGTCTGATTTACATAAACTTCAGCTTTGATTTTCTCGGCTTAGACAATGTTTATTTTTAAAATTACTTCGCCAATGAACTCATAAGATGGGTCGTTTTATAAGCACGATAAAACATTCGCATCCGATCTTTATCTGATATACAAACTCTCGCCTTCGGCTCGAGTTTGTATATCAGATATTAAAGATCGGCTGCTCATTAACTAGTACTTAAAAAGTCCTTAATTGACCATTTGCGTAATAGACTAAATTTTGAACTAAACAAGTCTAGACAAAAATTTCATCACAGCTTGAAGGAGCATCACAAAATTAGTAATATTCCAAAGTTTCGTTGCAAAATGTTGTAAAATGCGGAAAATATAGCCTTGCGAAATTTGCAATTTTCAGTCATTTTAGATTACAAACGGGAAATTGACAGCCCCAAACCCTTCGAGGCTGTCAATTTCCGGTTTGTAATCTAAAATGACTGAAAATTGCAAATTTCGCATGGCTATATTTTCCGCATTTTACAACATTTTGCAACGAAACTTTGGAATATTACTAATTTTGTGATGCTCTTTCAAGCTGTAATGAAATTTTTGTTGAGATCAAAATTTAGTCTATTACGCAAATGGTCAATTCGCGAGCAAAGGACAAAGGGAATCACAACCATGTAATTTACAAAAACTTCAGCTTTGGTTTAGACGACATTGATGTTTAAAATTACTTCGCCAAGGAACTCATAAAATGGGTCGTTCTTTAAATTAAGCGATTTAAAACTCCCGCAGTGCGCGCTTTATCCGATATAAGACGCTTGTCGCCTCATGTTTTATATCTGATAAAGCACTCCTTCTCGTTTATTAAACAGCACATAAAACTCCAATGCGTTACCGTGAAAATATTCTACAATATGTTTGTGATGTTACTCTGAGTGTGTATCCACACCGGGCGAGCTTGAAAAATATGCCTGACCACGGTGGGAATCGAACCTACGACCTTTGGAATACTAGCCCAATTCTCTGCCAACTGAGCTACGCGGTCAGGTCGGTTCGAGTAAGTGATATTTCGGAACAGAATCTAGTTCCTTCGATACCAATGTAATCTAGTAATATGATTTTTTCTGTGTTGGTGTTGTGTACTGAGGTGAATATGATGTTTGTGATGTTACTCTGAGTGTATATCCACACCGGGCGAGCTTGAAAAATATGCCCGGCCACGGTGGGAATCGAACCTACCACCGTGGCCGGGCATATTTTTCAAGCTCGCCCGGTGTGGATATACACTCAGAGTAACATCACAAACATATCATATTCACCTGAGTCACAACACCAGCACAGAAAAATATTCTACAATCTTGGACATACCTATAGCCCGCGGGCAGCCCCGTATCCACGTAAACGAGGGTAAACGTGGTATGGGACTACCCGCAGGCTAGGACATACCTGGTTGAGACTATTTTCCCCCTTATACAAAATTCGCATATTCTTATGATAAACTCCATATTGAATCGTGTTGCCCTTAAGCCCCCGCTCCCCAACTCAATGTTGAGTCTGTCATGGTATATTACCAAAAGTTGTTTCGGCGTTGTTTACAACATTGCACTGGGGGGGAGGGGGAGACAAAGTTTGTTTTGTCAATGTTCAATAACTTTGTAATATTGGCTGGAATGGTCTTGAGGGTTTTGTCTAAGATTGTAGCAACTGTTCTTGTAGGGGCTCAGAGTCTTAGAAGGGAGGTTGGACGCGCCGGAATGATGAGGCGCAGGGTTTTTTTCAGGATTTTCTCTTGGGTCCGTTTTTGCAGAGAAGATCAAGTTTAGCTGAACAGCTGGGGTGGCTGCACACCCCCCCCCCCCCCCCCCCCGGGGG